TTTTCTCTTTGTGTTTTCAATGGTGGTCTTGTGAATCTTGGGGGCTCCCACTTTAACCTACGCCTCGGGTTTGCCAAAAGGTCGAAACTTTAGCTTTCTTGGCCCTCCCTTTTAGTTTTTCTTTTGTGGGTTTTGGTTATCTGGAGGTGGTGGTGGACGGGCAATACTCATATGGGCGCCGCGCATTTTAGCAATGGCCGCCGCCGCCGGGGGAAGAAAGTGACGGTGACGGTGGTATTGTTCTTTGCATGCTTGTGGGCTGTGTGCTTCTTCTCGCTGTCCTCCGCCGGGAGGCCGCCTGTTTCGAGGCAGAAGCTTAAAGTTGAAAAGCACTTGAAAAGATTGAATAAGCTTCCCATTAAAACCGTTCAGGTCCACTTGCACCTACCGCCGTTTCTCTTTCCAATTTTTAGTAAATAAACAGTTTTGTTACCTGTGTGCACTTGTTTTTTTAACTTTGCCATACATTCATAACTATTAGCATTATAAGATTCAATTTGATTTATGTTACATTCCATGGTTAATTTCTAGAGGCAGCTGCTAGCTAGATACCAGAGTTTTGTTTGAAAAGTTCAGAGTGTGGCTACTGTGTATGTGTGTGTAATTGTGTGGGCTTTTTCTATTTTGGTACCCTAGTTTTCATTTTGGTCCATTTTGGAACCATAATTACAATCCACGATTAGAAAGTTAAGGTGAACTTTAGTGTACAAAAAATGATTTAAGTTGAAACTTGGGGTGCCAAAAGCAAGAGGCTTTGAAACTTAAGGTATCAAAACTGAAATTTTCACTTCAATCATTCACTGGCTTTCTACCATTTGTTGTGATAGGCTTGGTGAGCCAACGTAAAACCTAGCCATTCAATGGAGATGAAACACAATAGATAACTACTGTTTCTATTGGGTGTCATCTCTAGCCTACCCCAACTTGTTTGGGACTAAAAGACTTTGTTGTTGTTGTTGTTGTTGTTATGTATTTCTCTCTCTCTCTCTCTCTCTCTCAATCTCTCTCAATAATGTTATTATTGTGCTTAAAGTCATGAAATTTAGCTGTTAGTAGGCATCTGTTTGACCATTTGGTTGTTTCATACAGAGCCCAGATGGGGACCTTATTGACTGTGTCCACATCTCTCATCAGCCAGCTTTTGATCACCCTTTTCTCAAAGACCATGAAATCCAGGTCCATTTTATATATTTATTTTTAAATTAATTTTATGTCTATGTATAATCTGATTGTTACAGTTTATTTATTTTTTTTTTTATTTTTTTTTTATATTTGTGCTCCCCAGATGAGGCCTAGTTATCATCCAGAAGGACTATTTGAGGAAGAGAAAATGTCAACAGGGCCTAATGAAGGAGAAGAACCGATTACACAGCTTTGGCATATGAATGGGATGTGCCCTGATGACACTATTCCTATTAGGAGAACAAAGACAGAAGATGTGCTGAGAGCAAGCTCTGTCCGAAATTATGGAAAAAAGAAGCGAAAATCCATAGCCAAACCCAAGTCTGCACAGCCAGACATGATCAATCAAAGTGGTCATCAGGTAATTATAAAGATAATGCTGTAAAAAAAAGTGTATCTTTATTGCATAAATGTGACAACAAAGTCCATAGAGAACTTTATTTTATCAAGATAAGCATTTTTCGGATTCTGCGTCATTATTTTTTTTTTTCTCTTTTTGACTTTTCTCGGTTAGTCGAGTTGCATGATAAGACTGCTTTACGAGAAAACGGTACTCTTAATCATACTTGAAGTGCTAACACTTGATTATAAAAGGAATTAGGGAAATGTATTGGCTTGTAACCGAGGGACGGTCTTCCACGAGCTTTTGTGTAACTTTTGCAAGAAATTGTAATTTGCTTAAGTCGTTATTTTGGAAACAGCATGCTATAGCATATGTGGAAGGGGACAAGTATTATGGAGCAAAAGCAACGATCAACGTGTGGGAGCCCAAAATACAGCAGTCTAATGAGTTCAGCTTATCTCAAATTTGGGTCTTGGGTGGATCGTTCGGTCAGGACCTTAATAGCATCGAAGCTGGCTGGCAGGTATATTATTCTAAGCTTTATCATTGGCCACCTCAGTTAAGGAAAGATATTGCAAGAACAATAGTTAATATGATATTAAGTGCTAATTAGAAAGTACCTCCCTTTGATATTCGTTTCGACATAGTGTAATATATATTCAAGTTCAAATGAAAATGTCAAACCTCAATTTCAAATATCCCAAGAAGGTAAGAGCACAAGTCACACCTATATAACACGCCTTTAGCAAATTCACTACCAAGGAAAGTATAAAGAAACACAAAGTTAGATTGAAGAAATAGTCAAATACTTGAAAATAAGCACCTGAGAAATAAAATTGAAACACAGAAAATAACATTAGAAATAGAAGATACAATAAACATAAAGGAAAAAAAAAATGGAGAAGGGAAAATAAAATTAAAATAAATTTAGTAACTAAAACTAGAAAAAAAATAAAATGAAAATTAAAATAGTAACTAAAATGTTACAGAAACAGAAGACTAAAAGCAACACAATTACCTCTGCGCCAGTAAGGACGTTGGAAATATGACGGATTGGCCGTTGTTCCCCCCAATTCCAAAACGAAGTAGGCTAATTCGGTATTTTTTCCTAAAAGTGAAAACCGTAAGTTGGGTGCAAACGATTCTGAATAAAGGTGACAAGAGACTGAAAGAGTTTTTGGGCCTGATTTAGAAGTGGGAACCTGAATTTGTTTTTGGTTTTTTAATAGAAATGTAAACTTGAATGCTAAACTGGTCCCCTATTGGTGAGGCGCGCCTCTGAGTTGTCTATGGTGTGAGGAAAGGCCCTGCGAAGCTCGGCATGTGGCACCAATTTAAAACAATTTGTTTCAATATTCATTTTAATTTGAATTTGGACTCGAGTTTGGTACAATCAACGGACAATCCCATTGAAAATATTAGTGAAAGTAACAAAATCAAGGGTGCATTATGTTGGGTAATAATGTTGTAATTTTGCTTTTGTACACATCAAACAAGATGAATATATGCAGAGTTATATTTGTGGCATAGATAAGAGTATGATTTATGGAAGCTCATGATTTCAGGTCAGCCCGGATCTCTATGGAGACAACAACACAAGACTCTTCACTTATTGGACAGTAAGCTCTAATACTAATTATGGTGTTTACTTCACCTTATCTTTGTGTTAAAAGATTTAATTTTATGAATGTGAATGTTGACAGAGTGATGCATATCAAGCCACAGGTTGCTACAACCTTCTTTGCTCTGGCTTCATTCAAGTCAACAGTCTAATAGCAATGGGTGCCAGCATCTCTCCTGTTTCTTCCTATCGAAACTCCCAGTATGATATTAGCATTCTTATTTGGAAGGTAAAAAAAAAATTCATTCATTCACTATCCTTATTCTACTCAAACTGTGGATAAATAGATATCTTATTTTGCTGAAAAAATGAAGACACGAAAGAAGCAGTCAATATGCCATCATTGTTTTCCTGATCCAGAGATTCTTCCATATATATTTTCACTCTGACTGTTTGTTTTTTGTACCCAAAAAAGGACCCAAAAGAGGGACACTGGTGGATGCAATATGGCAATAATAATGTGATGGGGTATTGGCCTTCTTTCTTGTTCTCCTATTTGGGAGACAGTGCATCGATGATCGAGTGGGGGGGCGAAATAGTAAACTCGCAGCCCGATGGCCAGCACACTACGACTCAAATGGGCAGCGGCCGCTTCCCAGAAGAAGGGTTCGGCAAGTCGAGCTATTTCAGGAACATTAAAGTGGTCGACAGCTCCAACAACCTCCAATCCCCCAAAGGTCTCGGGACTTACACCGAGCAATCCAACTGCTACAGTGTCAAAACAGGGAGTAACAGTGATTGGGGAAACTATTTTTACTATGGAGGTCCCGGGAGAAACTCTAAATGCCCATGAAAAGTTAGCAAAATGGAAAGACATTGAAGAGTTGTTTGAGCTTTTAAGGCAGTGTCTTCTAATATTAGTATGATGATTACCCCTTGTCTATCAATGTATACTCTCTTGTTTTGTTTTCTGTTAGATTTTGTCAGTGTCAACATTTTTTTCTTAGAATGTTTTGCCCATGTAAGTGAATTAGTCTAGTTTCTTGAGAAGATGAAAAGAAACAGGACTTTGTCATTTTCTCTGTACTTATTATGTTTGTTAACCCTTGTTTGAGTGTACTAGTATGAATCCCGTGTTGGTCAATAATATTTATAAATTAAAAATATAGTCAATATGTAATACAATTTACATACATTACTTGATTGTAGCTTCATGAGGGTTTTCTTCTTTATGTTTTTCCTTTGTTGCCCGTCCTGTTTTGCAAATACTTGGGTGTGTTCTGGCACACCTTGCTAGGTGTGCCAGGGTCTTTTGTGAAATACACCTCCCCTAAAAGCAAAGCGCGTGAGGTAAGAAGGTAAGACAATTTTATTTTATTTTTAAATGAGACATGTGTTCTATTTCTATTGAGCAATAAAATATATATATCATATTTTATAAATTAAATTATCATTCATATTTTGAATCAAAAAATAAAAATAAAAAAAACCAAAATTCATAATTTTTCATTCTCTACAAATAGAGATCACATTTGATATTTTTTGGAACATAATTAATCATTTTTTACAATTAATTTATCTTATTGGAGATTATGACATAAATCTATAATTAGATGAACATGTTCTAAAATAAGATGAACATGATACATAATAAAATGAACATGTTATAGAATAAGATGAACATGTTACATAATAAAATGAACATGTTATAGAATAAGATGAACATGTTACATACACAATAAGGTGAACATGTTACGTTATAAAATGAACATGTTATAGAATAAGATGAACATGTTACATAATATAATGAACATGTTATAGAATAAGATGAACATGTTACATACACAATAAGGTGAACATGTTATAAAATAAGATGAATATGTATTATTTCATTCTGCAATCTGTAACATGTTCATATTGGAAAACATATTCATTTTATTATGTAACATGTTTATTATATGTCAGTATAATAAAATAATTTCGAAAAAACAAAAAATTAGTTTGGTTAAAAAACATATCAAATGTGGTCTCTATTTATAGATAATGAAAAGTTACGAATTTTGGTATTTTTATTTATTTTTTTAATATAAATAATTAATTATATTTTAATTTATATAATATGTCTCATTTTTTAATTAAAAAATAAAAAATAGAAATGTGCACTACACTCTCCTAATTTCCTTGTTTTTGGGGTGAGGGAGGCGCGTGCAAAATTGCTCTGGCACACCTAGCTAGGTGTGCCAGAGCACACAGTAGTGCTACTGGTCTTGTTTTGGTCTTCCTTCTTCAATGAAAAGAATATGATTCGGTATGGAGACATACTTCTTCAGAGTACGCCATGTCAGGGAGTTCACATTTCTAGCCTCAGCCTAAAAGACAAGGTTTAAATGCCATGCCAAGGAGTTCGCATTTCTAGCCTCAGCCTAAAAGACAAGGTTTAAATCCCATGTCTAGCGTTGCACGCAACGACGGATTCCGAAATTTTTATGAGCCAGGGAAAAAAATAGTTCAACAAAAATTTTAACCATATTGCACAAAGTACTTACATTAACAATTAAATAAATCGTTGGAACAATTGGGTGTTGAAGGGTTCTCTATTCAATTTGCCTTTGACTTGATGCTAAAAAATATAATTGAGAATGAAGTCTGATTATTTTATTTTGCGTTTTTAAATAATTAAAATATATACTAAAAATATTTTACAATCATTTTTCCTTCATTTTTTTTTTGTAATAGGAAATAAACAAGTCATTTTGAAATATAATTTATTAACTTAAAAAAGCCTAAATGTCATTATTTTTGTTCATGTTATTTTATAAGGATTTCCTTATGGATTATCTTTTTATATATAAATGTAGAGTTTTTCATTGGCAATTTCCAACACTTTGTAATTCTATATGTTAATTTGAAAGGATTCAAAATAGTCCATATAAATATGGATATTTATCCCGAACTTTCAAGTTTAAACACTTGGTTAACATAAATTGTAAATATATTTTAAAAGTTAATAACATTTGTATATATTATCAATTTTTATATATGATAACTTAAATATTGACAATGTATAATTTGACATTCATATTGTATATGTAAATTAAAATAATTATATCTAACTGATCTCTATCAATAAAAATTTAAATACTTATCAATTATAATTGAAAAACAATAAATTTATCTATCAAACTTATTATACGGTATAAGTACTAAAAATGTTTTAATATAATATCGTCGAATCCGACTGGTAGGGTGTATCATTTTAAATAAAAATTATTGTAAGTTTTGAAGTTTGACAGTAAATCGATGAACCTTCTGATGTTCACAGGATTCAGAAATATGCGAGGCTATTTAAGGGAAGTGTACGTTAATTTGAATGGAATCTTTTATCTATTATTTATTATTATTGACTATTACTAAATGTTTCATTATGGCAGGTCCATGAGAATTAGCTCGATTTAGTTACCATAATTACAATAAAGAGATCGCGTCCTTAAGGAATGAAGGACTTACCTTATGAGCATTATTACTTGGACGAAAAGCAAAAGAAGAAGACTTGCCAAATGAAGCTTGAGGTTAAAATGAGGACGAGACGCATGAGGAGGATGATTTTTGCACCTCTGATTATTATTTTGTTTTGAGTATTCCTTGTTTATCGAGCAGAGTGAGATTTTATATATATTATTTTGTGATTCTGTAACAGAGTATTTGGAGGTTCATTCTGAAATAGTTTGAGGGATTCGAACTAGAAAATCCACAAGGGAGTTGTGGTCAGATAAGTAGTTATGTGAATCACTGTTCAAGTAGTGTAGAGGGAGTCTATACTGTAAACCCTTAGAGAGTATTTGTGATATTCACATTAATGAAAGAGATCTGAAAGGAGAGTGAGACGCTCTCCTGAAGGTTCAATTTTAAGGGAATCTGCTTTCGCGTTTGTTTGAATCATTGCTTAGATCTGTTTTAACTAATTTATATGTAACTCTGGATACTTGGTGTACGAGTATCAAATTGGCACCAGAGCAGGTTTTCGTTTACATTACGAAAGATCTAAGGACTTGTGTTACTGGACAATCATGAATTAAGAAAGTGGATCGAAGTCTAGGCCTGCACAGTTGGACGGTTCTAATTACTCGTATTGGAAGTCTATGATGACGATCTTCCTAAGATAACTTGAAAAAGGTGTGCGGAAAAGTGTTGAAAAGCACCTGGTCAAGAAAAATGAGCTACGAAAGCTACGGTTCCTAAACCTAAAGACAACTGGACAGATGCTGAGAAGCTTCAAGAAGAAGCCAACTATCGTGCCTTGTATGCGATTATAATGGCAGTGGATCAGACAAGACACGAGATGATAGTTCAATGCAAGACTGCGAAAGATGCTTGGCAGGTCTTACAACGTCAATTTGAAGGTTCAACGACTGTTAAAGCGTCCAGACTTCAACGGGTGACTCTTGAATTTGATGAAATCAAAATGAGGGATGGAGAGACAATTGACATATACTATGCCAGATTCTGTGATCTGATGAATCAAAGTGCGATGCTTGGAGAAGAAATTTCTGAAAGCGTCAAGTTCAAAGATTATGAGAACTGTTGCTCCAGGTTCAGAGACAAAATTATAGCCCTTGAGAGTTTCCAAAGAGTGGTGTCTCTAGATGTTGATGAACTTCTTGGAGAGCTCAGGACGTTTGAAATCAACAACAATTATGACAAAGTCAAAAGCAAGGGTGTAGCTCTCAAAGCTGCTGTAGTAGAAGAAAAAGAAGAATGTGATGATGATGAAGGTTCTTTGGCTGACGGTATTTAGCTGAAAGAAGCGTTTTCATAGATTGCGAGAAACTATGGAAAGATGAGTCAAAGGCTGTACAAGAATAAGTTCTCTGGGAAGAAAGACAACAATTCCAGCAAAAATATGTTTCAAGAAAAGAAGAGTAATACGTCATTCTCAAAACCTGACTGACAACGAGTTGAAAAGAATTAATGCAGGGAGTGTCGTGGCTTTGGGCACTTTCAGTATGAATGTGCTAATCTCAAGAAGAAGAACAAGTCTCTGAAGGCAACCTAGGAAGATTCGGATGACGAGGGCACAAACGAACCTTCATCACCACTTCCCCCGCTCCTTCGATCCACTCCTCCGTTAAGAAGTTCATGTGTCTCACCACTTCTCACGCTCCAACCAAATTTGAAGAAAGTTTGAGAGAGGCTGAAGCTTTTGACGACGAAGCAGACCAGAATTTATGTGTTAATCGTGTAAGCTTGTTCGCCATGGTGAATCTAGGGACCGAGCTTACTTTGATGGATGTGTCGTTGGGCTTATGGTATGTATATATGTGTTTCAATGTCTTAATACAATAATATTAAATTGTGAGATTATGTAATTTTGAAATCATGTGTATGTGTGTAGGCTTGGTTGTACGAGTGTGTGCCTTCTCTGGGCAAACGTTCCACGCTCGAGGCGATTCCTCGTATATTTCGATGGACGGGGAGCACAATGTCTTCTACATTTGAAGGGTCTTTACAATCCTTAAAAATATAATGAGGCATTAGGTAATTTATTTAATTTTATAGTATTATCTGTTTTCTACTTCTTCTTTTTACCTTTTTGGTTAATCGATATTGTACTTAAATCATTATGATTTGGTTTGCAGGTGTATTTGGTATCGCCTGTTTTAAAGGAGCGTGTGTTTGTGGAAGCCCAGATTTCTTTTAATTTTCTCGAGAATTTGTGTTTTAGCATTAGTATATTTTCATAGGTACAAGTATCTTTAATTTATGTTTTCCTTTTATTTTTTTTCTCTTTCATGTACAGAGAACATTTGAGAACTGACTATTTTCCATTGTTTTTCATAAAAACAATGAATTAAA